GTGTTTGTGCGTATGTGTATGAGTGCGTGAGCGTGTGTGCGTGTGTGAGTGAGCAAGTGATCCAGTCAGTGCGCGCGGGGTTATCGGCACTGTTGTTCTGCCAATCGTGTGCTGGCCTCGTTTTGTCCTTGTGCTCACAAACCCAACGCATCGCTGCCCCTTCCCCTCTGGCCAGTTCGCTCGATGGTGGGCCTCATCCCGCTGTACGCGTGCCTGACGCTGGAGCAGCGCACCCTGGACAAGCTGCCAAACTTCACCAAGCGCCTCCACTGGTTTATGGAGAACACGCCCGAGCTTGCAGGGCAGGTCCTCGTCGTCAAGGGCTGCGATCCAAAGCATCCAGGTGCGCATTAGATGCACAGAGACGAATTGTTCGCCGCTGTTTGAGGCGAGGTGACTGGTGCATGTGTACAATGCTTTTCGTGGTTTGGTGTTGTGATGGTAACCTGGATTACGTTTTGTGCACGTGCGTGTGTTGCTGCATCAGGCCAAACGCGGCACCTGCTCTCCATTCCAACGGAGGACCGCCTGCGTCACCTTCTCCGTCGCCTCTTTGACGAAGACGAATTCCTCTCCCCATACGGTGTGTTTGCGTGTTGTGTGTGTTTGTGTGTGTTGTTTGCGTATTGTGTTGTGTGTGTTTGCGTGCTGTGTCGTGTATGTTCCGTCATGTCGCGCGTTGTCCCATCACCTGCTCACCCACTTTTGCCTCGGACTGACCAGGTATCCGCTCACTCAGCAAAGTGTACGAGAAGCCCTACGTCACCACCGTTGGAGCAGAAGAGGTGTGTGCGTGCATGTGTGTGGGGTGTATTTGTTGGTGTGTGTTGAATGCTTGCTTGCTTGCTTGTTGTGCATAAATGTACGTGTGTGTGTTGCTGTGGCATGGCGCTTCCTTGAATACCACTCACTCCCCAAGATACCATCCACAATGTCCTTTCCCTGTTCCCTCTCCAAAACCCGAGCAGGTGTCTGTTGAGTACACGCCTGCAGAGTCGACGACGTCGATGTTTGGCGGCAACTCCAACTGGCGCGGGCCCATCTGGTTCCCCGTCAACTATCTCATCATCGAGGCCCTCGACCGCTACCACTACTTCCACGGCGACAACCTCAAGGTATGCTGTTGGTGTGTGTGTTTGTGTGTGTGTGAGTGTGAGTGTGAGTGCGTGTGTGTTTGTGTGTTTGTGATTGTGTGTGTGTGTGTGTGTGTGTGTGTGTTTTCGTGTGTGCTTCCGCGCTGGCTTGCGAGTGTCTTGCCCCCCCCCCTCCTCACTGCTCCTCCTGACTCACCCTTTGGGCGGCAGGTTGAGGTTCCCACGGGCAGCGGAAACTTGATGAACCTCCGCGAAGCCGCCAACGAGATTGCGCGCCGCCTCGCCCATCTCTTCGAACGCACGGTCAGACGTGATGTCGTGTTAATTTGTTGTGTGTATGCGTGTGTGAGTATGCATGGCTGTACTATGGTTGTAGTGCATGTGTTTGAGTGTGCATGTCGTGCGTCAACCGCAGCGACATTGTGCTCACCGCGTGTGTGTTGACTACGCGGTGGTTGTGACGCAGTCGGGCGGCAAGCGCCCATGCAACGGGCCATCCCCCGTCTACGGCGAGAAGGACAAGGTGTGCATGCGGGTGTGAGTGAGTGAGTGAGTGAGTGAGTGAGTGAGTGAGTGAGTGAGTGTGTGTGTGTGTGAGTGAGTGAGTGAGTGAGTGAGTGAGTGAGTGAGTGAGTGAGTGAGTGAGTGAGTGTGTGTGTGTGTGTGAGTGAGTGTGTGAGTGTGTGAGTGTGAGTGAGTGTGTGAGTGTGAGTGAGTGTGTGAGTGTGTGTGAATGAGTGTCATGATTTGCTTGCTTGTGCTTGAGTGCGTGCTTGCTTGTGCTTGCGAGGCGCGTGGTTGTGGCTCACGGTGGCGACTGGTGTTGTTGTGGCTGCGTTGTGATAGGACCTGATGCTGTTCTACGAGTACTTCCATCCTGAGACGGGCCGCGGTGTTGGCGCCTCCCACCAAACGGGCTGGACCGCCCTCATCGCCCGCTGCCTCTCTCGCCTCTCCAAGGAGGAGCGCCTTGCTCTCGACTGATGGACGGAGCAATTGGCATTGGCGTACTGTTGGGACTTGACTGGCTGAGGAGTCATGTCATTGCCTTTGTTCAACCTCATACTCGCCTCCTTCTGCGTTCGTGTTGTTCTCGTGTGTGCTTGACTTGTGGCCTGCGCTCTCCGCCTTGTGTGTTTGTTTGTTTGTCACATTGCATGCGGGTTTTTTTTTCTTGTGATGAGATGATTGTGCTTTGTATGCGTGTGTTGTGCCTTTGGGCATGCTTGCTTTGCTTACTTGTCACGCCTGCTTGCTTGTTCTTGGGTTGAAGTCGTGTTGCGTGGAATGAACGCTGAACAGTGAATGCGGCAAGGTGCAACGTGATGTGACAGTGATGATGAGGATGCGGCAAGTTTTTTCAACGCAGAGCAAGCAACATGGAAATAAATTCTCGTGAAGGATTT